CTCTTTCTCTCTTCTCTTTCTCTCTTCTCTTTCTCTCTTCTCTTTCTCTCTTCTCTTTCTCTCTTCTCTGTCTCTCTTCTCTTTCTCTCTTCTCTTTCTCTCTTCTCTTTCTCCTTCTCTTTCTCCTTCTCTTTCTCCTTCTCTTTCTCCTTCTCTTCTCTTCTCTTCTCTTGCTGGGGAAGAAGGAAACACCGATCCGTTCTCTCCTCCAGGAGACGCCTGGCAGCATGACGCCGCCTCTGTGGGCAGCAAAGGTCACTACGTGGCAGGCGTGCGCTGCAAACCCTGTGCCTAAGACCGCAAGAAGTGATTGGAAAAGAACGCATGAAGGGTGGTTGGGTGGGTGGGGTCTGGAAAAGGATGGAAGAGGTCCTTCTTAGGTGGCTGGGTGTGGGACCCTCTTTGCGCCACGTCCTTTCCTCCCCTCATCTCATTGGACCGACTCTCTGAGGCGCGTTCCATCACACCAAGGGCCCGCATGACGTGAGGAAACGGCAGAAAGGAAAGCCATGAGACCCCGGACAGAAGAGACGACGGCCGAAGACCAGGAACGGTCACGCCATGTGGCGTGGCGGAGCCTAGGCCTAGTTCGCTCGTAGTTCGCTCGTGGAGCCACCAAAGGGCTGCACGCAAAGGGCTGCAGGAATGGCATTTTTTGCAGTTGCTGCCACCTACCGGCACGATGACGACTTCTGTGTCGGTGGCGGATGTTTCACCATTTGAAGCGTTTGAAGAAAAGACGCTCAATAGCTCGCTCAGCGACCCAACGAAGACCGCAACCGGCCGAGGCAAGAAGTGTTTCTCCCTTGTCTCTGGTCTCTTCTCTCTTCTCTCGTCTCGTCTCTCTCTCTCTCTCTCTCTCTCTCTCTGTGTCTCTCTCTCCCCCTTTTCCTCCCTCCCCTCTCCCTCTCCCTCTCCTGCTCCTTTTCCCTTTCCATTTACAAACGCGCATATGAGGTTCGGTGCTATAGCCCCTCAGTCGTCCTCAGCCCAGGAGGTGCTGCGTGAACGCGTAGCAGCATGCAAGCAGGAGCTCGCCGGCAGCCGTCGGCTTCGAAGAAGCTGGCGGCCACCGGCGTTGGAGCTGTCTTTTTGATTGGGGGTGGGTTTGCTTCACTGTGTGGCCAAAAGTTGTTGTGTTGAGAAGGGCAGTGGTATAGTGCGGTGACGTGAGTTGAACATTGTGGTTTAAATCAATCGGCCCGGGAGGTACTCAAAAAATATTTGTTCGGCCCGTATATTTCAAGTGTTTGGCCGGGCGTGTGTGTTTAAATGTTAGGCCCATTGGGTGGGTGGATTAGCCGACCCGTATGGATGCCAAAACATCTTGCCTGAGCTCCCCAATCCTTTTCGCATTGTGTATGGACCCCTTGATGCTGCAGCGCCTCGTGGCTAAAAGCGAGTGGTGCCTTACTCACAGTACAGGCCACGATCCACGATCCGTCTTTGATGGCTTGGAGACCTCTATACCGGTCTAGGTTCTAAGGATTGGTGCGTTGACAAGTTTAACATTATAACATCCGTGGGTTGTGACAATGATCGGCCCTGCGCACGTCGGCGTCCCGGGTCTCCCGCATTCCCGCATTGCCTGGCGTTAGTCCGCGGGCTTTGCGTGTTTTGCGTGTGCGATTATAATACGTGTATATTATGATCAGTGTCATGTGCTTTTTGTGTACGCGCGCGCGTCCCTAGTGTATAATGCAACCTTTACTAAAGCACAATGCCACATGATGCGCACTTTGCATGTATTGCAATACACTGCAATATGGAAGGTAACGCCTGCAAATGCAATGCATCTATGTATAGTGTATTGCGGTCTCCCAAGGTGATGGATTGTAAGAACATTTGTGTTCGTGCATGTATTCGTGGTAGTCCAATGTAGTGTGTAGTTTACGACAATGTAGCGCAATGTACCTGAGCACGCAAGATTGCACGTAGGTCTTGCAAAGTGGGGTGGCCATGCGCTGCTAGGTAAAGAAGATTCTTCGCGCATAATTTTTCTTGATTGTGTGTACGATTGGCCCACAGAGCTGGGCCATGAATCATGCCGCGCAAATCAAAGCAGGGCAGCAGGAACCTGGAGAGATTGCCGGCTGTCACTTCTAGCTCCACTGGGTGAAATTGCCATATGGGTTCAGTTATGTGCTCAAAGCAGCCGCGTCCATGCTCTCGCCCGGGCAGCAAAAGATGGGCGTCGCAAGAAAATGCTGGTTGTTCAGCTGATTTCTGTGGCTTGTCGATCACGCCGCGCCGAAGCACCACCAATTTTGGACACAAACAGATGTCGATTCATCATTTTCATGCAGCAGCAATGGCTGCAGGGTGCTGTTGCGTAGACGTTTTGGCTTTGCTGTGGTCTAATCCGCGTCTTTGTTTGCATTCTTGGAGCTTGGCCGTGTTGTTAGTTAAAAGGGTTGCAACCAATGCAGCTGCAAACTTTGTTCGCCTCTGAATTCTTCGCACATTGTGGATTCTTGGTGCTTGAAACAAACATTTCGACTTGAACCAACACAAACGTTCCTTTTCTTCAGCTTTGTTGTAAACTGTCGAGATATCGTGATATCAGTGCATTTTCCCAGCAGCCTAATTAGCAGCAATCAGGGGCGGAGCCAAAATTGACTTGATGTATCGTGTAGGTAGAAGGCCACGTGAAGTTGAATCCGTTGGGCAACGACAGTATGTTAGGGTCACTTGAGATATTGTCAAACGCGTGGATGACGGCTGCCAAAAGACACTGAGTATCAAGAGGGCAAAAAGGTGATTGACTATATATTTTCATCTGTGTTCTAGTGTGCGATTTCCAACCTGTCATTATAGCGTGTGGGCAGCGAATAGACCACCACAGGTGTCCGTCCAATAGACCCATTCCCAAGCACTGGTGTTCTGGCCACGTCATTGGTGAGCACACTGACATGGACCCAAGATTGCGGACAATTGGACAAATTGTTTCGACGGTCTGACATGAACCGGACATGTGCTGCCAGGGGCCAAGAAGTTTTTTGCGAGCATTGCCAGGGGTTGCTTGGCTGCTCGCTCGCTGGTCGGGGCTCTTGTTGGAACACTTCAAGGTTTAAACATAATCATATATATATATATATGGTGGCCAGGCGGCTCACATACAGTGCGGACGTATGTGGACGTATGTCATTAGATCCGGAAGTTTCACAACAACACATATATATATATACATATATATATATATTTATACTTACATAGAATATCATACAATATGTCCGGGCCACAACCATGTGGTGTCAATTCAGTTGAAACAAGGCTGGTCGCACATGTTGCGGATGTTGGTTCCAGTGGTTAATCTCAGGTTGTTAACTGTTTTCCTCAGAAAATATAAAAATTGAGGATTGAAAGGGCTACGCGTGGGTGGTTCCATGAACACGGTATACGGTGTATATTATACGGTATACTTCACCCACCTGGTGGCAAAAACTATAAAGCTTAAACTTATAAACTCATAGGCCTCAAAATAGTGGTCGTTTCATGTACTGGTTCAAAGATGTGTCCACTTCCCAGGCTTCAAACTAAATCGGTCCCCATATTGAATAGAGACCGTTCCTTTCAGTTTGAATATCCGGCCATGTTGCGGGAAGAGCGGGAATTAGGAGAAACCGAACTGGGAACTTTGTGCTGTGAGCCAGATGAAAGGGGTTGTTCCGGGAGGTTGGTTTCTGTTTGGATGAGAATCTCGTATGAGTAAAATTTTTTTGCCCATTGAAGTCGTCAGTTGAACTTGGGGGATCCTCAGGTGTGGTAAGAGCATGCACGAGAAGCACATGCATGTCGCTTGCAGCAATGAGAGGGTGGTATGGTATTGGAATGGGGGGCATCCAACATGTTTGAGCTAGGAACCAACGTCTGAATCAATAGGAACTAGTTCATTTTCCCACCTTCAACATTTGGGTGGGAACGATAGTTGGGTGGTTATGTGGAGCAATTGCTCAACCACTCTTGAGAAAGATGATTCCTATTGGTTCGATGTTTTTCAGGGTAGTTCAATAAAATGTACTATTACGTAGTACTAACATGTACGAACCAAAGAAACCCACCGACCAAACACTTCGGACAGCCGCTTCTTGGGACCCCAAAAAACCGGGGTAAAAGGATAAACTTGTGGTGTAGGGGCTTCCATTGGTGACCCCTTTGAAGGTGCTGGGAATCATAAACATGTGTTCAACATGTGTGAATTCTACCAATGTCTACATAATATTTAATATGTGTTTATTTGACAGGAACTACTGCTGCACTCCCGAAGGGTCTACCGAGTGGTCAATCTCAGAGATTCCGTACACCGTGGATCGACATGGCTCGCGCGGGCGTTCGCGACCTGCCGCGACACTGGCGCGACACGTTTGCGCGGTTGGCCATGTTTCACGGCGGACTATCCCGACCTTGGACTATCCCGACGGAGCGGATGAATATTCCAACCCGAGGGCTCCAGTCCTACCTCCTCAATAGGTACTTGGACCCTCCAAACCCACCCCAAACACCTTCTCAGAGGGTACTTGGATCCTTAGGGCAAGTATAGTCCTAAAACCTGTGTGATCAGCCGAGTGACAATATGTTGGACCACCCAGCGGCCAACATGCTCTCTTTTCCTACCAAAACAGAGGTCATGTTTGGGTTCTAGGATGTTCTAATTCTAGGTAAAGTTCTAGGTGAATTTCATGGGAATGTTCTTGCTTTCCAGCCGGGCAAACAGCCGCGAAGGCTTTTTGATTGCTGCCGCGAACCAGTCGTCGAAAAACCTTTGGATATTCGTTCTGCTGTGTTTGTCATCAGGGCCGGACGCTTTGTGGACTTTGCAGCAGCCCGGCGAAAAAGACTGGGAGGTGCAGGATACATCGCAATTTCAAAGGGTGCCAATTGCCAATCACTTGGGAGATGCTGATAGTTTGATAGGCCTGGATTGTTGGATGGCCAGAATGGATCAAACGATGGCAATAAACAGGTATGCTGCATTCTGTCTTCGAAGACTTTGTTGGCCAACCGTGTGTTGCTGAGCGGTCTCATCCTGATGAACCAAGCGGGCAACATGATGTAAAAGGGGTGGACCTGAGTGGTGCAGGAGTTCTTTCTTTCAAGGGTACCAACGAGCATCACGCATGGCCCGTTTTTTTGGATGAAACACACCGAAAGCCCGACCCAAATGCCAATCTCTTCCTGGCCACTTGGACAAAGCTGGCTGCCAGAACTGTGAGAGGACATGTACTCAGTGGATCCTATAATATATGTATATATATATATGTTCCCTGGTTTTCCTCGACACTATTTGGCGTGGGCTAGGTCAGTCGACTGTACAAGGGACTTGAGTGAGCACAATAAGGAGGATTGGTTGACGGTCGACTGTACCAGGACCTGGTGGTCGACTATGCCAGGGCCCTTGGTTGACTAGATAAACTTCACTTATGGGCACATGGTACTAATCGAAGTCGCCAATCAAAGTACTCATGCATGATCTTGTCTAGCCTTGACCGGCCTTATTTGAGATGTTCAGTGACAACCTGATCTTTGGAAAATCCCGAGTCTACAGTGCATGTGCAGGGTCATCCACTGAGAATTGAAAAAGAAACTATATAAAGAAAAACAACTCGTGGACAAAACATGGAACGCCTATACGAATCCGTGGAAAGCCTGTACGAAACCGTGGAAAGGACATAGCAGGACATGGACAGACCGCCCCTTAAAATCCTCTTGCAAATGGATGTGTGAATTCTTATATATATATATCACACGGCCACTTTGCTAATTGTGTAGCAGCGGGTTCGCAAGTTCAAGTTGAAATAGGATGTGTGTGGAAAAAGTGAAGCGGCCTTGAGGGGCCAGTGGTGGTGTGGCTCGTGTTGTTCTTTTTTGATATATTAATGTATGCAAGTTGGGCCCAACAATATTGTTACCCAGGTGGTAATTAGTCAAGGTATAAGCACACATATCAAGTCCCACGCAGGCTTATACCATCCCTTCTGCTAACGCCTATACCATGCCAACCCCTCGACAAAAAGATGCTGGAACGCGGTATAGGCCAGCAAGACACAGTATAGGCTAGCAACCCTCGACTGTACGAAATACAGTATATCCTTTGGAATACTTTCCACGGTTGTTGCAAGGGGTCCAAGGTCGTTTCAGTTGGATCAGTTGGGGTGTAACTTCCCAAAATCAGGGTTTTTTGGGCTGCATCTCTCGGGCCGAGTATGTGTGGTCCTGGAGCACACAACTCTGGCAGTTGCCAGTGCCCTGAAGCGGCATTTTGACATTCTTGGTTCACTATTCATTGTCGAGTATTTTTTTATTTACACATCAAGCACCTGAAAACATACATTGATGTGTTCCCCCCCCACCGCTCAAAAAACCCGAAACACCGATCCTTCCTACTCGATCACCGATCCTTCAGAATCTCCGTAGTGAACGCACCACCACTCAGGTCCTCCGCACTCACACCACAGCGACCGTGCTGATCGCGCCTCCGGAGCGCTCCTGATCCGCTCGCGGCTGCGCGAGGCGCGCGCGCGCGCGTCACCGCGCCGGTCCGGTCCGGTCCGACCTCGGTCGACGGCGGCGTGACTCCATGCAGCGAGTGTGGCCGAGTGTGGCCGTGGGCGGGTCGGCTGGCGCCATGCTGAGCCTTTTTCGTGTTGGATTTCTCACCCTTGAGGTGCTTGGCATGCCGGGGAGGCTTTGATTTAACACATGACACCAGTCGAGGAGAAATGGATGCTGGATGATGCTGGTTTTGTCTATTCCTGTTTGCAACGCCATAGATTTTGGTGTACATGTTGAAGCATCATTGAGGCAGGAGAAGATATCTTTAGCAATCTTGCATCTGAGATGGCACTTGACGTGACACCGGTTTCTAGACGGGCCTCATAAGAAACTCATTCCACCGAGTGGAAGGAAGTCAAACCAGACCCAAACACTCTATGTATACGGAATACTTGCCTAGCAAGTCCTACAAACAGCCCCTTTTCAACCGCCTTGCCTTTCAAGTTCCTGATTTCCTTTGCCATGTCCTTCCCCGGTAACGATCGCCGAGATCTCGCGCCGGTCAGGCGGCTTACAACCGCCTGACCATCCGTCTGGAGCATTTGCTCATGCAGTTGAGGCCCGTTTGGGGGGGCCCGTTTGGGGTATGGGACGGAAGAGGGTGGAAGGAGGACGTTTTGGGTGAAGGAGGTGGCCGCCCCAAGGCATGTTCCGGGAAAAGTTGGGTGCCCCTGATGAATGCAAAACAAACAGATGTCAGAAGGAAGAAATATGTTGCCTTCAGCGTCGCCTCTTGAACATGGTCGTTACCTGCATTCGAGTTTGGAATTGGACTTTCTGATCTTTGTTTCTTTTTGTCTGTGGGGCAGGTTTGAATTCCAGCTAAGGCGCTCCGGTTCGTTGCACTGTGCGCTCGTGAAAGTGAAAGTGTCTAGGGCAGATGCAGCACTGCATAATTCTTCACATCCGCTTAATAAACACTGTTCTTGCGATCCTTTTGTTCCGGATGGACAAGATGACTGTAGCGGGAGGGGGGGGCGCAACAGTACCTTCTCGTGCCGTACAAGCTACTGATAGTAGGTACCTGCAGCCTGCAGATGTTCTTCAATATCAGCCTATATATCAGCGCCATTAGGATCGTTGGCTCAGTCTTAAAGCCGCGCACTCCCATGGAAGGATAGTATCACAGTGCAGAGCGGATTTCCCAACGCTGAGATTGGGGACAGGTCTGGACCAATGGTACGTGTTTTACAGGCCTTCGTTGTCCGTCCTCAGTGTGACTCAAGAATGCACGCCTTCCCTCAAAACATCTCAAAACAAAACAACAAAAGCAGGAAGTACTTGTTGTGTCGCTAACATGGAAGTGGACATTTTAGGAAGACTCATTTCCTCCACAGGCCAGAAGGAACATTCCACTTCCATAACAGGTGTTCGCCCGAAGTGATTAAACCAATACATGAAAAGCACCAGGTCGGGCGCAGGTGGCTCAGACTCCAGCGGGTCGTCTTCTAAAGCTGATGTGGAGGGCCGATCGCCAGGCCGATCTTTCCCCAGTCTAGAAACAAGGTCGTCTCTGATCCCAGCCCATCGGATGGCTTTGATCGTTCAAAAGTGGGATGGCTGAGATCAGCGGCCCCTTACTGTAATTCCTCCAAACATCAGTTCAAAACATCTAGAGTTTCTCCTGTTTAACTTTTGCTTGTATAGGCTGTATAGGGCCTTTTTTCTTCGTCAAAAAGGCCCGAAATCCATGGGAAAAAAAAAACCGGTGGCATCTCACACCACACACGACGACTGGTTCGAACTGGCCCTGCAAGTTCCGGTGGTCCTGCATCGGGAGAAAGCACTTCGGCCGCCTGTCGGCGGATGCGGTGTCTGCTGCGCTGTGAGGACGATGAGCTCCTTCTCGGATACACAGATCAGCCTGAAAGACCTGCTATCCTTCACTTGGGAGACTTGGGAGGCAGAGATCAATCATCAAGGACTGTAATTAAGAGTCTTTTTTTTGTGGCAATCGCTCCAAGGTCTGTTTCTGGTTCGGAGACTTGGGAAGAAGAGGATCAAACATCAGGAAAAAACCATGAACCGTCAGGGACACGGGTCCCGTGGAGCATCAGGGATTTGAAGATTCGGTTCATTGAACATCATGTGGTTTGTTGGAGTCCTTCTTTTGGCAAGCGTCCCGGCAGTGAAATTTGCGTGCATTATATCTGACATAAAGTTGCTTTGAATTTTAGATACTGAAATCACCAGGTCCAGGAAATCCACCGTCTTGGAGAGCTCGCTCGTACTGTTTCGATGTCCAGCTCCGTTTCGTGCCCCCCCCCACCAACCAAAACGGCCCCGTGGGCGTTCGACATGGCCGTTCTGTCCTGTGTTCGGCATGGCCATCATCGACTTGGAACGAGGGACGATCAGCGCCAATTCAAGGATCAACAACAACACGTAACACGAGTTCTTTTCTTTTACGCTTCAAGCAGCCATACGGAACTCGCCGGTAGCCTACCAACAAAAAGCAAAAGAAAAAAAAGGCACATGTGCCAGCTTAATGGCCTCACCACATGAGGCTTGAACATACACTCCACGAGTGTGGGCGAACTTCTCCAACCCATGCCTCCTCCACCTCAAAAACTGTAGCTGCTGCTGGCTTCGCCGAGGAGCTGATCGTTTTGGTGCATAAGACGGCTCTGGGCTTGACAAGGCTTTTGAATACTCATGACTCGCAACTGGGCCACCTGGCAACAAACTGGGCTCCACCCTCCACGTGGAGCGATTCCGTGGCGAGGTCCCTTTTTTAGTGTGTTATTTTTGTATGTGGCGCTGTTGAGTGGCAGGCGAGGTGTGAACGGGGACCAGCTGTGGGGGGGGTTGACATCTTCAGCTAGCTGAGGGCTGCTTCTAGCCTCAAGTCTCACTTGTTGAGTTTCGTTTGGTTTCGTCATGAATTATTTATATAGAGTTCAAGCATTCACAATGAAGAAGCTGCGTCAGTTCAGCAAAGGTGAAAAGGATCTGTAATCAGCTTAATCAGATGATAACTGGGAAATCACCGTCTTGATTCTTGATACATATTATGAAAAGACTGGTAATCACGGTATACACGTATTTTAAATCACGGTATTCGGTAGCTGGGTAACTGGTAATTCACATATATGAATACAGGCGAGCAAAAACGTACTGGCCAATTGACCACACATGACCACATTATTGGTTGATAATGTCGTTTCAAGGCTGCGGCTGCGCCAACTTGGTGCACTTGTGTTCACCCGGAAGCATTGAGCCTTGTTCCGCCAAGACGAAATAACAGTTTTTTTGTTCAGAATGATTTTGACCCGGCACGCTTAGCATCTGTGCGTTCACCGCCCTTTCCGGGTCCTGGCACAATTGACCGAGACGCCAGACGTGTTTGACTCCGGTTTCCCCTTTCCGCCCGGAGGATTCGGGGCCAGCGGATTGATTCGGTTGCTTTCAGTCAGAGCGGATTGATCGGCTGTCAGAGTGCTTTCCCTCGAGGTCTCCAGCTGTCCCTGCTGCTTTGCATCGGTTTTCTGGTCCTGTCACTGGTAGCACCTCGGTTGAGACCGAAAAACACATCTCAGATGGCCTGGAAGATGGCAAAAGTTGGAAGAATGGTTTACCATTTGGGTTCAATATATGGTTCAAAGCATGCAAAGTACTGAACAGTAGGAGGCCAATTTGGAAATTGGTTGAGAATCCGAGCCCTTCTCCAATCGAAAGGGTTTGGGGTTCGCATGCGGACCCTTGCGAAGAGGTCAGGGTCAGGTCGCTCCACCCCTGCCATGGAGGGTCCCAAGTACACCGACACCTCGTACCTCCAAACCGGTTCGGTATGTGGACCAACGAAACGAAGGTACGAGTGGAGGCCTTAGGGTTGTTTTAGTTAACAGACCAGATCGTTTTTTCAAGAATACTTGGGTTGACTGAACATCAAGCGACTCAAACCACGGGAACAAAAAAGCACGGGCGAAGGGCAGTGTTGTTGGTCTACATGGGGAATGCAGTATATCTCAGTTGAACAGGGAACAATGGTTAACATGCCTCGAGGGTCACTGTCTCAGACCACGACGAGTTGTCTACGATTGCTTGTCCCGAGTTGGCGACGGTCACTGGGTCACTTGAAATCGGAAGAAAGGTTCAGCAGCTGAGCAAGTCCAAACACATCACGTCCCAAGCAGATGGTGGTAGTAGAACAGTGATTCAAAACTGGATCATGTACTGTATGTCATTTCTTTGTGTGTCAACACAGGATGTTTGTTTTTTTTGTAATCTCCAGTTTGTGTCTGTTTCTGGCAGCTTCTGGGTAACCGTTTGGGCATGGTGCTGTCAATGAGGTCTGGCCTTATCGACACAATGGGCTGAATATCCTGGATAGTTTCTATGCCGCTCTCAGCGTGCCTTGATCGGCACAAGGACGATTAGCAGAGCCTTTTGTGGAGGACTCCCACGAAAACTCCAGGCACTTGCAAATGCAAGTAGTGAGCCATTCTATCCCACAGACACAGTGAACAATGGGAGTCAATATCTTGGGGTCCCAATGTAGGAATAGCTTTGAACACGTCACATTATCACCAAACTATTTGCCAGGAAGGAGAATGACACTGGTCGATATTTGTTAGAAACACATCTTTGGACGCTGATGCACATGCGAACTTTTCTGATTTTCTGGAAGCTCTCTGAGTGCCGCACTCCCTGAAAAAGGTCTGTTTGGAGTGCCGCACTGGCACGCACTGGCACTCCGTGGAATGTACCCTGCTGGATTCCCAGGCACGAACTCCTTCCGGTTCTGAGGGTGTCACGAATTCCTCCGACTCCTTCTACAATCGGAGAATCAGAAGGTCGGACATGGCTGTGGATGGCACGACCGGGACCGACCGGTTGACCGGTTGACCGGTGGCACCACAAAGGGACAGTGAACTGGGTGAAATGGGTGAAATGGGCAGGTCAACCCACAGGTGCATCGCTCAGGTGCTTTGTGTCTATGCCTTAATCCAGCTGGAGCACTACAACAGTGACCAGACCTTCTTCAATGTCTTTGTCCTGCTGGCCTCTCGTTTGGTTGAACGATCGGCGGGCCGAACGACAGCCGAGTGGACGGGCCGAGTCGACAGCTCTGCTTTCAACTTCTTCCGATTTCGGTCGATTCACATAGTCTCATATTGTAATAACCATGATGAATTAACATGATGTAAAACATGTTTAAACAATTAACATGACGTAACACACATGTTTAACCGATTTTCAACTTCTTCCAGCTCTCAGGTGGCGGCGAGTTCTTTGCTGGCCTTGGTGATGGTTCCACTCTGCTGGTGCTTCTTCGCCCTCTGGAGCAGCGCCTTCTCCGAGACCTACTACGTGCTCGCGCCCCTGGGCGAGTGGGACAGGTGGGAAGCGTTTCTCGTTGGTTTTTGCGGGGTGATTGGATGGGGGGGTGATCGATGACTATAGGAGCGCGTTTTTGAAATCTAAGTGGGTCATGAACATATATAGGTTGGGTTTGTCCGAACTTGCCTGTAATAGTCAGTCAGTAAACAAGCAAATCACTATTCTTGAACACGACCTTTGCTACCATCATCATCCACTGGTACTGGTAATAGGATAGACCCAACATATAGGAAGAATGCAAGAACTGGTTTAATCCTCCCAAGATATGGCATGGACTGATGAGCATGATCCTGGTTGGACCTTTTCATATGTGTTTTCTCACCAAACACAGACAAAGACACCACATCACATAGATTCACCCAGTCAGTTGTGGCAAAAAGACTTTGCCATAAACTGTCCAAGTTGCAGTCTGCCGCATCCAAGAACCTCTGTCCGGGGTATCCAATGAACTGCCCTCCCTGTATGAAAAGAAGGGATCCATTAGGCACCCAGACAGGATGCTCCTGGTTGAGCTGAAGCAGATGACACTGCGTGACTTCAAGATAGGCTTTGATAGGATGAATTCAACGTTTTTGTCATATGAGGTCATGCATTTCTGTGTCTTTTGGGAGGTCACCTCCACCTGGAAGATCTCACCTCAGCTGGAAGCTCCTCGCCGCGGTCTACGGTCCTCGCCGTCCCTTCGCCTCGCGCCCTCGCGGTCCTTGCTCCGAGGACCAAAGAGGTGCAGGGCAGCCTGTGGCGTGGGCCGAGCAGTCCCCGGGGCCCTCCAGCGGAGGAGCCGCGGTGGGTCGGACCGGGGGTCTGTGGTCCTGGCGGGTAAGGGCGCTAGCTGAGGAAGGAGCTGAGGCAGGGATTCAAAGGAAGTAGGCTTAGCACCAAATAGTGATGGCCTCCACCGAGCATAGCGTCCTTGTTATTGGTTCGTGGAGTTTGGGTAGGCAGATGTGTGTGTGTGTGTGTTTCTTTTTTCTACCTCCTCGAAGCTTTTGCCAGCTGTTGTTCGTTCCAAACCTGGTGTGTGTTTTTTGGTGCCACATTGCTTTGAAGGGATGACAACATGAATAGAAATGATTCGTCACAGTCCCTGAGCTTCCCTAGGTGGTGAACGGTGAACTTGTCAAAACAAACACCTGTGAGGCCTCATCCCAGGTGAAGAGACAAACCGACTGCTCCATCCCCGTCCTGATGTGCTCTGAAGAGTCGTATCCTCATGTGAGGGGTTTCCGCATATACTTTCGGATGTTTTGAAGCTCATGGTGCAAGAGGAACTGTTCAGAAAACCATCATTCTTGGAGAAGCGACTGTATTGCTTGATAGCTAATCATCTCGAAGCATCTTCCTGAGGGGTGTCAATGTAAATACTTTGCATTTGACGTCCAATTGACTTGAAATATATATCTTGAAGAAACTAGACCGGATACATCGATGCTATTGTTTAGCGTGGAACATTATTTATTTCATGTTATTTCACTTAGCCCTGGCCTTGAACTTACTGTCTAAAGCTACTTAGAACTATCCTCGACTAGATAGAACATTGTCAAAATTCTCCAACATGTTCAGTGTTCTACTTGGTTTGGGCATTGAATCTCAAATTGTGCTCCAAGCTTTCCTTTTTGGAGACCTTAAGAGTGGCTTTCGTGTGGGTTGTGCTCCAGCAACTCCGCGCCTCACGCGGCCAAAAAGCGAGGAATCGGAGAGCACTGCACTGGCGATCCCCAGTGGCCGCTCGACCGCAGACGAAGAATCCCAGACACGACCTGTTTCGGGAGTCTGTTTGGGTCCTTTATTGCCAATACACCAGGTGCCAAAGGGTCCTTTATTGCCAGGTTTTTGGGTCCTTTATTGTTTGACCTACATTGAACAGTGTGGGTCAAAACATGGCAGAAACCAAAAAAACCCTCGGTCGGGCGGCGAACCCATCGAGCAATGCCCACAACCTGTTTGGGACTGGAATCTGTCATTACTTTCCCTAGGGCTCCAGTCGTACCTCCTCAGAAGGTATGACTGGACCCTCTAAACCCACCCCAAACATAGAAGGTACTTGGAGCCCTAGGGTTTAGATCGACCCCTTTGCAACCACACGGACCACTGTATGCCAGTCCCATGGGTGTCTGGGAATGTGAGAGGGAGGAGAGCGCTATAAGAGTTCACTGCTGGGGAGGAGAGCCGCTCGTGTATTCCAACATGCGGACTGTTTCTCATGGCAGGGCCGCCCTAGTTGAAGGTAGGGCGGATGCTCTCCAAGCTCATGTTCAGATGTGATGTGAACCCCTATGCATTTTTTTGATTACATGATGTGTGCCAAACATAGACTGGAGGCATTGACTGTGAGGCGGCAGACCTTGCAGACCATGCAGCTGGTCCAGTCCATGAAACCTCCCCCTCCTTTCTTCAACGTTCGTTACCACATGCCTTCACAGACAAGTCAGGGAACATTCTTTTTCGCAATTTAAAGGATGGACTTCTTTCCTTTGTGCCCCAAGAAAGGCCAAGCAGTCACCAAGTACCCACCATGTAAACCATCCATGTATGATCATGTATGGCAGAATAGTTACCAAACGGTTACCCCATTTCTGACCAATGTAGCAAACTCTTCCATATACATCATGGATGCAAGAAGGGATAAAACCAGGTCCCTTCTTGCATCAGGAACGCCAGACAAACGTCCGTGCTCCGGCCGAGGTAAGAAGGCCTTCACCTCGATCCTCACACGGGTGGTGAGCAGCCCCGAGGAGTTGACGCTTGGTCTCGGTGGGTCGGGTCACCGGGCCGGCCAGGCGGCTCCAATGAGGCAGAGGATCTAGCTGCTAGCTGGTGCTGGCAGCTTCAGCCAGACTGGTTGCCTCCCGAGTGCTTCGGTCTTCCTAATATTGGTCTCTTTTGAAGGCTGGGAGCCTCAAAGGCTCACATACTGAAAAAGGCTGGTAGAGTGCGATGTGTCATGCATGGTTGTTACCCCTATACTATAAAGAACTCTTGGACCCTCCATAGCAAGGGTCAGTCCCAAGCTCTTTACAGAGGCCCAGATTCTCAGGGGCTGTTGTCTTCTTGGGCTGCTTTTCTGTCGATCATCCATAGCGCTTGGAACGTGTCTGGAACATCTTAAACCCTACACCGAGACACCTCGTACCTCCTCAGGTATGACTGGAGAAAGATTCTGTTCAAGACAGTCCATCTCGATCCCCTTTGAAGGCCGAAGCACTGATCAGGAGCCTCCGCTCCCAAGCACCGCTTTTTCGGGGAAGAGCCGCCAAGGCTCCCGCCGGTGACGCATGCACTGATCGTGATCCGGTCGTGAACCACGACACTCCACTGGAAGAATCATGGGCCTGGCCGTGGGCATGGCACTCGGATGACCATGAAAGACTTGGGGAAAGACCTCGGAAGACATGGGTGGTGGTGCCATCTACGGAACCGTGATTGTTTCAGGGAGTGTGACCCACTACTATCCTACTACACCTTTTCCAGCTCACTGTCAGGGGAAAAAGAACCACTGGTGTCACCTGGTCTCTCATGGTCTCTCTAGACTCTGGAACGGTCGTGAACACACGACGATACTGTGTCGACGCCGGATAGCCCCCTAAGGCTGCCGGACGAACCCATCGCGGCCCAGTGGTGCTTCCGGATACCCTTGGCCACTCGGAGGGCGCCAGCTCGAAATCGAGAAGAAAGCCACCAGGTGTGGCGAGGAGGAAACGACTCTACTGTAAGGGATTGGTAAGGGATATGATCTGTTCGTGTCGACTTAGGATCAATGAGCCCCCTCAGGTCAAAGGGTCGGTGAAATGGTGCAGGGAAGGTCTCGGTGCCGCATGAGCCTGGCAATAGGACCATAGATACAGGGATCGGTGAAATGAAGGGGACATCGTAATGATTGGAGCAGGCTCTTGACATGGAGTTGGTATGGCAGAAACACGTTCTGCCAAATTGATGGGAGGGACATAGTCATGAATCATGAATTGACCTTCAATGCAGGGATGAACTGTACCACGTTATTGACCCAGCAGGGTGGAGCCCAGTGTTTCACACGGCTTAGATAGGTTCGACATCATGAAACATCCAACACGTCTTGCTGCCACAACACCGGTCGACCTGCGATGCAAACGTCACAATGTGAGTTTGTCTTGAAAAGGCAGGTTTAAGATTCGACACCAGAGAATCTTGGATCCTTCAATTTCGCTGAGCTAGCTTGTGCAAGACTGGGCATTCACAGCCAAGACATGGACAATGCGGCATTGCGGACAGTCTGGACCTTCTCAAGACCATTTTTCCTCTACAAAGGGGTCTTTCAATCCCAGAAAGATCCACCCAGGTGTCAGCTGTCTTTTCAATCGGTCGGGAAGATCATCCAGACTGAAGGGACTGCCAAAACATGTGAGTTGCCCCACAGTTGGTTCCTCTTGGAAGATAAATTGTACATGTTGTCCGCCTCCCACGTATTATCCGGTGTTTTGATTGTTGGTTGATGATTCATGATGTCCGGATTGTTTTTGTTTTGTTTTTTTTGTAAAAAACATGTTTAGTCTAGCAGACCAATATATTTTTCATGTCTAATTAGTCTGGTCTAGATGGTTTGTGGCTGAATTCGGGATAACGTTCCATGCCCCTTGGAAGAACCACACCACATGAACTCCTGTGGAGAACCGTTTGGAACTTTCAGGAGAAGGACAGCAACTGGTCGGCAAGTGGCAGTTGCGCGGCAAGTGGCAGTTGCGCGAACTGGTGGGTAAAATGTTCCGTACAGATGCTAGATTTGACATGTTCCCTTCAGCAACTGTGATTGTCACAATTGCCACCGCCACCGCCAGCAAGCCGTTGAACTGCTATACTCACCTTGGACAATCTCACCTTGGCGAAATGGAGGCTGCGATACTGGGGAGACAATCTCCCACTCAGACACAGAAAATACATGAAAATACTGAGGAGACCATGTTTTCCTCAATTTCCAGTGCGTTCTGGCCATCTCGGCCGAAGTGGTTTGTCTCCAGCGCTCGCCGAAGTTGTCTGACTGGTGCGACGGTCGGGTGGCTGAGGGTGGTGGACCCCCCATGAAAAAGAGACCGAACAGGATCCCGTCCCCCATTCTCTACTGTAAGCACATCGTCAGTATCTCTCTATAAAGAAAAAAGGGGCCGACTGAAATGGACACATAGTCAGTGCAAGGACTTAGACTGGACCACTGGACCATCCACACCGCTCCCACGTGTTTCATCTTCACTCCCAAGAACGAACCAATGGCAGTGGAGCATGAAATCCTTGGAAGACATATGATCCATTATGATCTCCTACAAAACACACGATGCTTTGTTCTGCAGTGTGTGTTGGTTCTCCACTTTCATCTTGTTTTTTAGTTGGTGACTTTCGTATATGATCACCCCTAGGGTGAAGCCGTTGATGAAGATCACGACCATATGCCGGCTGTCTTCAGTTTTCTTGAAGCTGAAATCACTTAATGAACGCTTGAAAGAGAATCGTACCAGTATATGAGAGTCTCTGATGGTGTAATGAGTTTTGGCAATACCCAGCAGACAGATGCAGACAGAGGCAACACTCTACTATATAAAGTATTAAACAAAAACGCCGGTGATGCAGTCTGACTCATCATGTTTGGATATACTGCAGTTACGAGTTCTTCTTTCGCCGACGTCCGGCGCCACGCCTTTAGAGAGACCGATCGGCGCACGCCGACCGTGTCCACCGGTGTTGCTGAGGTACCTCGCAACGGGTGGACTTGACCTTGCAGCAGGCGACGGTCGTGTGCAGGTGGAGGCGGACACCAAGGTGTTCACAAAGCAGTAGCCTTGTATAGGAACTGACTACTGTATATAGAAACGTATAGAAATAGGCAATGTAATACTAATCAATATGAGAAAGGGAAGACCCCACCGTGCACGATGACGTTCCAGAAGGAATGAACTGCGAGAGTTGATGTCAGATCTTAGAGGATGAATGTCACTACATTTCCTCATTCCCTCCATAGGGACATCCACATTAAAAAATAAGCTTTCATCCGTTCATCCGTCCTCCAACCCAATCGGAATTTCTTCTCCGCAGCAAACTCCACCGTATCCCGGAAAAACGGACCTATCACCTCTGCCACCGCGACCCGGAAGAAGATGCTCCACCACGCGGTGCGAGTAGCACCGCGGCCCGCGGCATGGTGCCACGATGCACGACCAGGGCATCGCTATCACCGTACGAGACCCCGCGATGCTCCTGCAGATCCTCAACGCCGAGGGTGCCGATGTGGCGTGGAAGATGTGGGTGATGATGCGATGGGTTGTGTGCCGGTGAGACGGTGTGATGTATGTGTGTTTAAGTTTGTTTGTTTGTTTGTTTGTTTGTTTTGTTTGGGGGGTGCAATGTTTGATGGGAGGCATGGAACATGGGTGGCATTAGGTTGAGGAATCCATGGTGACCAAGTGTAATTGTAATTTGCATGGTTTATAGAGTACGTTGAAGATCATGACAGGCATTAGACGGTATTAGACGGTACAAGTATGTACAAGTACATCAAATGGATTGAATGGCCGTCAACGTGACCCCCCAAATGCATAATATGTGTTTCTCCACCCTTCCCCCTGAGTCTCGGAGTTCGGGAGCTTCGCTTTCGCAGGCGGAATCAAGGATCAAGACTCGCAGCGAAGTGCCCATGGCCTTGGGGGAAGAACCTGAGACACACTCCGTTGAGCACATGGCAAGTGGAGTGAACACCCCCTGTTCGTCGAGGAGCATGGTCTCTTGAGGGACCATGCCGCCATGTTGTAGCCATGGTTGGTTCCAGGGAGAGGACTGTAATTCTCCCTTCTCTCAGTCCACTCAGACGGCCCAGATGTATAAAAACCACGCGTGGCCCAGGTGGACTTCCAGGGGAAGTGGGGCCTCCCGATGCTGCCACCCATGCGCTTACGTCGTGGAGGGGATTTACCCGGTCTCCTGAGGTTGGCTGGGAGAGGAAATGGAGCAGAACTGGGAAAGAGGTCTTTCCGGAAGAACTTGTTTCCGCATGTTTTTGCGTTTTTTCAGAGTGGCAGTCTGTGAAAATACTTAGAGCTTTTGAGTGAAGATAAGTGTATGCATGTGTATGCATAGTAATTGCGAGGGTTTTGGCCCAGTCATTAAGTAGGACGTATCTGGAAGGAGGATCAGCCGACAGGTTTGCTTCCGACGCCATGGATGGGCCAACATCAAATGGAGGATCTACTGGGTCCAATAGACAGATACAGGGTTCAGCTGGACTGCACGACCTTCATGAACTAGCGCCCGAACGGCACCCGAGGAAACGGTCCACCGAGGGCTGGCTACATCCACCAAAAGATATGTTCTTCTGTTTTCCTGCAGATCTGTGTGATTAGAAGCGTTTTAGAGGAATAAAATACTGCTTGCTATATTGACCACTGGAAATAGCTGCTGGACTGCTGGACAAAGCATGCTTCTTGTGAGATGACTCTGTAAAAGACACGTCTTTCTGTGGCATAGGCATAATTAGATCTGAATTCTGTGGGTTTGCATCAATTGTCAATTCGTTACAATTCATTCAAACTTTTGTTGCAGGAAGATGCTGGTCACAGGCCCAGTTTCATCCGGTTAGCAAATATGACATCTGTGCTTTAGCTCATGACAGATGACGGAGACGCTCCTGTCTCCGTTGAGCATGAAGACGGCTTCATCTCGAACCGTCTACGTCTCCCCCCAGTCCGACCCACAGTCCGTCCCCCCCCGTCCCCCGTCCGGCTGGTCATTCGGGACCACGCCGGTGAATGGGCCGTATACGCACGCACGTGGATGGCGGGGGGGGGGGTGAGGCTTCCGAGCGCCCCTGAGGGCGAAGGGCACCCGAGGAAAACGGCACCACTGGGCCCTGGCCGCGCCAGGATTTCAGTGCCTTGCAGCGATCAGAAGCTGTTGCGCTCCACGTTGAAGCAGCTGAATGCCCTGGGGGAGGAGAAGCCCAAGCACCAGCAACTGGGTAGAATCAGGGGTACTGTGGAGGAGTGATTTTGGTTGCAGACGTTTGGTCTCACAACCCCATTCCAGGGCAGCAGGGAAAACCGTAATACTCACTGGCCACTATCGCCAAGGTCCTGTTTCTGGCTCAGGAGATGTGCTTGTTGTTGGTTTGGAGGGTCCAGTCCATACCGTCGGATTGGCCACGAGCACTTGGTTTCAGGATGCCTGACACCAGGTGTTCAGATGAAGAACACTGCGCTGTGGTTCTTTCATATTTGTTTGTTCAGGATGCCTGTCAGTATACCCAACATGGATACCCAAACACTTCATGATACTTCATGACTCCATGTAATAGACATAATTTGGACATATATATATATACACACGCCTTTATGGACCCCGCAAGGTCTTCATGACTCCATGTAGGTAAATATGCTCCCAGACAGGTCGTGTGGTATGAACACATCGGCACGTCGACGTGTTTGGGTAGACGACCGAGGCACGAGCATAATGACCGCTTCTCCATCGACACAGAGATCTCCCCGCGCTCAGGGCGGTCCTCAGTGTGACTCAGTGATTCTTCAGTGGATGGTTCCAGGGATGACCATGTCAGGCGAGGTCGGTGTGTGAAGCAGGGTCATTGGGTGTTTCATTGCAGATGACAGATCAGCTTTTGAAACACTGCCCCTATGGCATGTGAATGACTCTCTGCGAAAAAAACTGGTGTCTCATGAGTCTCATGCTTTCTCAGTTTCTCAGGATTTGTGTTTTGTAATTTTAGCAACTCCCCCGTCACATGTTTGGTCTTACACCCGGACCTGCACACTTCACAAAGTCGGTCAAGAATCATGTTTGTTGCAGAAGAACACGACAAGACCTGTATACATTGCACCGCCCCGACCGTGGCGCTGGCGCCCTACCAGGTTGCCGACCGTGGACCGGCCACATGTGACCCCTGAGGTTTGTGGTTGCTCCGATAGAAGGTTGCTCCTGGTAGAGAAGAGAGAATAACTAGTGGATGACCAATATCAATAACATGTTCATATTGATTCCAGAAGCATCCAATGGGTGTCCAATGGACTACCCTACCCTACACTGCCCTACACTACTTAGGGATCTCCATTGGACACCCATTGGATGCTCCTGGTTGAAAGCTAATCTCCACTTGACTAATAGCTTCCCAACTCGACCTCTTTCACACGAAAGAACTCACCAAGCCAACACACTCACCAAGCCAGCACCCAACACCAAGCCAACAGCATGGTACATGGCTTTCCCCACCCCAAACAAACCCTCATGAACTTCTCTCCCCCGCCTTCGCTTGGCCCCGGTGTTCCACCCCACCCCTCCGCCGAGGCTCTCGACACAGCTCTTCGATGGGGACGGCACGCCGGAGAGCGAAATGGCGCCGCGGCTGTCCACGGTGACGACCAACACCCAGGCGACGCAGGCCACGCAGGCCGGCCACGTGCGACGCGGGAACTGGACGTGGCACGTGGCCGGAGGTGGGTGGAAGACGACGTGAATGGTTGGAACGAAGGGGAAGGAAGTGGAGGGACTGATGAAGTTGAGCTGGGCGAGATATGGTAAGATGAAAAGATTGATGGTATTCATGCACACCAAGCAATCATTTGTTTCCGTGCGTGGAAGGTTTGCAGGCGACATTCTTTGAGGTTCATATAGTCAAGAATCGGCCCTGAAGCTTCCCCTTGCTCATTCATAAGAGTGCTCATTCAAGCAAAAAGCTCTACAATCACCCGAAGCACGCGCATGCAATCCTCTCATATCCCAACCCATTTTTTGGGGGTGGTTCGCCACCAGTGTGTTCAAACTGCGTACATGTTGCGGCAATTTGCACACACTTAGCACCAAGTTGCCCGCATGTTGTGTGTTTCCATTTGTGGCCCAATGCCAAGAAACATTCAGGAAAGTCTTCAGCATCTTGAAAAGCTCGCGAAACCCTTCAACACCCCCAAAAGCGTGCATTTAGTCAACAAAAATACAAAGTTCAAAAAGGCTCAAACCATATAGAATCTCCATAGAAAGTGCTTCAAACGAAGGTTATATTTTAAGGGTTCTTTCACTCTCGGTACACCAGATAATGCGGACATCAGAATCTTCCCAAACTAGGCGCCAAGCTGACCATGTTTGTTTGAAGGATCTCAAAATGCTGTCCCACCGCACGAGACCCCCGATCTCGGAAATCCATTTTTCAGACGACCTTCACGCGCCAAGGGGATGCCACGGTCTCCCCGTTGCGTCGATAGGCCTCGGTGGTGACGCAGAAACCGTCGCCCTCCAATGGCTACAAGATCAAGGCGCCGCAGCTCTGGACAGGAATCCGATTCCTAGCCCACCATCGATGGATGTGTTATTTTTGTTACCTACCCACAGACACTCATAGACCCTGCTAAGTAGGGGCTGTACCCTCATATAGAGGGGTCCGGACCCGAACCAATCGCTATGGTTTTGAGGGGCCAAGGCCTGTTTGGAGCGTCTGGGTATTGTACTGTATTTTTTAAATATGGAGATCCCCAACCAATGGGGAACCCAAATACACACCCACGTGTTCTTACCAAACAACCATATTGTTGGATAGGATGTTTAGACTATACGGCTGTCAGCACCAGGTCAACCGGACTCTTTCAGACGAGTCCGGGGCTTCCGCAAAGAACACACACCGAAACGGACCCGTGAATGGAGCCTTTACTGTATATGCTGACAAGCTTCAATGGTCAGTTCAGGACAAAGTAAACCAAATCCATCCGGTTTGCATCCAAGAAGTCACCGGTTTGCACTACCTCCACAAGTATGTGGATCTCCATTGGACAGCCCGAAATCATGGTCCTCATATTGGTGTCCCTCTTTCCCTTTTCGGACAATAATAAGGACCCCAGTTGCTTTGTGTGTCCCTTTACGGTTCCAAGGCACTGCAAACTCAATCCAGCTGATCTCTCTAAGACGGATTTCATGAAAGAAGATGCAGAAACGGCTGTACTGTGAAATGCTTTCCACGACCTTGGCCAACACAAGTGGACACATCCTCACCCTCGCTTGAAGTGGACAGGAATGCTTCAACGGCAAACCAACATCCACCTAGGTACAAGGTCACTCATTCAGGAAGTACCTGATGTTCGCACTCATCAACTCTATCTCTCGACAAGACTTTCGTCACAAGCTGCTTCACTTGCACCCAACTCTTCTACTTCTACAAACTTCTACCCTTCTGCGCAAACTCCCTGCACAGCTGCTTCACTGAGATCCATGGTAAACCAACCCCCAGCCTCACACAACAAGGGAACCAACCATGGGACCGCCCTTCTTTGCCCGCTTTGCCCTAAACCAAAACCGCGATGGAGGCATTGACAAGGCCGGCCAAGATCGGAGGGCGCTTGGTGCCTGCTGGAGCGCAGATTGAGAAGATCCGCTATGTGCCACCAGGTGCATGTTGCCGCTGGGAATTCTGGGGTGAGAATACGTAATTGATAGATGATTACTCATCCAAGTCCAATGGCTTCTGGGACTCTTCCAATTTGCAAGTGGGTCCTACAGAATGTGTGTTTTGAAATGTTTTGAATGCCCATCTCCGCAGCATTCCGCAGCTTTTTTCCACCCCATGAGCAGCGAGATCGCTGCTAGTGCCCCTGTGGACTCTCGACTGCATTCAATCGAGGTAGCGGCTCAGAAACGGGAACTGAGCACTGGTCAAGCCCTGCTGTGAAATCCACCTGAGATTGAGAGATTGATGTGATGGGTGGAAATCAAGACTGGGTGTGTTCTTTTTTCAGTCAGGCCGTTCATTGTCAAATTCTGTTTATGACTAGCCAAGAGACTCCTTCCGTGCTTGAGATGCTGTCTGCTTGGCATCCTCCTTCTCCACACCAGCCTTCCTAGCCTTGTGCCAAGCTGTGTCAGTCACCTGGGTTGCAAACACAGTTCACATATTATGGAAGGCTGTGGACTCAGATCACCTTTTTCATACACGAACTGATATTGGCTAGAAGATGCTAGAAGTATTTGAGCCAAAGAACAGAGCGGATCTTCTTGCCAAGACTGATCGGTGACCACTCCATTTTCTCCATTGCCCGAGACTTTGCCTTCGCTCCGGGTTCTGCCGCGGCTTTGGCTTTCGCGCGTGCTTTGGCCTTGGCCTGTGCACGTGCTTTGGCCTTGGCCTGTGCACGTGCTTTGGCCTTGGCCTTTGCACGTGCTTTGGCCTTGGCCTTCGCACTGGCTCTGGCCTTGGCCTTCGCACTGGCATCGGCCAAACGTTTTGCTTTCCCAGACCCAGCGCTGCTGCTTGCATGGCTTGCTTGCGCAGGCATACCTTCTTCCCTTTTCTCTTTGTCCCTTTTGTTGATTTCCACCTCAAGCTCCTTGATCTTGTTCGGCAAATTCTCAGACGTAATCGAATTTGGAGAGAACTCGCCATTGAGGCAGGTCGGCAAGGAAACTCCTGATTCAGGAGTTTCGATGAGAACCTCCAACTCAGGATCTTCCGACTCAAGGTTTCCATTTGGCACTGGTGGCCCTGGTTCCTCACGAGCAGCCTGGTAGATCTCCTGCTCCCGGAAGTCTTCATCAAGCATGCCCAAACGATTCATATGTGTGTCCAACAATGTGAGAGCATTGTCAACTGCAGCCTTTGTTGCAACAACCAACTTCACAGGCACCCAACACCCCTCCTTGTCATTCTTGCTTGTTGCCTCTTCATGTGCTTCAGCAGCAAAGGAAGCCGACAAATCCCGGGGCTGCATGTTGACCTGAACAGTTGCTTTACCGTTTTGAATGTCTAGGAGAGGCATACAAGAGTAACAGCTGACCCACACTGCCCACACTGACCCCCAAAATGAGTTGTATAGTCGTACATTGATACACGGTGCTGTGTTCTTTGAAATCATATCCAGCCTCAGGGAAAACCTCCTGTGAAGGCTCAACTGGTTCAGAGGCAGCTTGCCCAAGATACACTTTGTCCTTGGATTGGGCAGTCAAACAAACCTCAAGGAAGACCATCAAACTAGTAGATCACATAGTAGGTAGTCAGAGTCATAGTAGTAGCAGTAGCTGCGTAAACAGGTATGCAAAAGCAAATTCAAACACACAGAACAGCTCAGGACTGCCAAGCACATGGATGGTTCTATGCTCTACGAGCTGCACTGCAAGGCACTTTGTCTCCAAGACACTGGCAAATTGGGACATGGAGAGGGAGAAAGACCCAGTTGATTGTCCGGCACAGGCCTTGTGGCAAAAGGACGTGTTTAGCTGTCAATCCAATGCATGTCTCTCAGATTGACCCAACTTTAATAGCATTAATTTTCATCATATCAAAGGCGAGCTTCATCGAGTCATTGATTTCGATGATGACATCCTCCATTGCTGGGTCAAGCAAAGTCTCCCCAACCATCTCTTCAGTTTCCGGGACCATCCCTTCAGTTCGCATAGTCGCTGGTAATTCTTCACTGGGCATAGTTTCCAGGACCATCTCTTCAATTGGCATAGTCGCTGGGAACTCTTCACTGGGCATAGTTTCCGGGACCATCTCTTCA